TTAATTTATTTGTGTTTATCAGTCAACTTTGATACCATATTAATACCAAAAATATATTCCTTTTGTTATATCAAAGTTGTAGCTTAATAACCAACTGATCTATTATTTCTAAAATACTGTTTAAATATTCATATGCCGTGGCCTAAGAAGGGCTAACATACAACGTCTGAGCATATAACATTTCCTGCAGTATTTGCAAAGTGCTGAACTGTGCTATGCTCTTTACTTAGATTGGCTGGCTCAGCAACCCTATGTTAGAGGTTATTACAGTTCTTCATACTGAAGAGACTGAGGCTTCGAGAGATGGGACACCTGACCAAGGTTACACAATTAACAACCAGCAGAGCTGGGATTTAAATTCTCAAATTCTTACTCTAGCAAGGCCTCTGCACTTACACTACCCTATACCATTGTCAATGACTGACAAATTAAGATCAACGACAAACCGAGGAAGGCAGAAGGAACTCTAAGTCGAGAAGCGGAGGCTACGGGGACAAGGTGAATGAGAAGAGGAATGAGGAAGAACCAAAGCATCAGTGAAACCACAGCAGCTGACGTCCCCTCAGCATGTGCCCAGGCTGTAAAGGAACAAGCTCCACTCCCAAGTGGCAGGAGCTGCAGACGGTGGAACAGGCCATGTCCATGCCCCACCCCTTGGAACCTCTCGTGTCCTGGCATCCTGAAAACGACTCACCCTGCTCAAAGGAAGAGGCAATGCTCATTGAGAACCTAGGGAGATGCCTGGTGGTGTGTATCTAAAACTTGAAAATATGACGGAAGAGCGGTGAAAAGAAGGTGGACTGTCACCTTGTATTGCATGAACAATAAGTGCGAATATTCCCAGTTGCTCTACTGAATCGCCCATTTATCCAGTTTTATATTACAGTGTCTATCATTAAAAGTGTTGCAACAGAGACGCTAGAGTTATGACTGGGGAGGCTCATGCATCATGCTGGAAGGGGTGGCTTAGTGGACAAAATGCCAGCTTTCACCAACTATGGCACTGTATCCAGAGGTTAAGAAGAATAGGCAAGTGGCATTGACTCAGCAGCTCATCTTCAGAATGAAACTAGTTCCACAAAGTTTGCTCAGATGGGTGGAGGGTTCTTTGGACAATGTCTGGAAAAAAATAGCCTATCCTGCCTGGGTAATAAAAATTTCTAAACCTGTATAAATTTAGGATACCCCCCTAAGTTTACTGGAAGCATGAGATACGAGAGAACCAAAGGGTTTTTTAACCCAGCCTTAGAGTCGGTGCCCTATTCTGGCGAGCTTTTCCTTCTGTTACTAGTCTTCCCCAAAACTACAGTAGTCCCCCTTTTATCCTCGGTTTCACCCCCTGTGGTTTCAGTTACCTGTGGTCAACCTAGATCTGAAAATACTAACAGAAAATTCCAGAAATAAATAACTCATGAGCTCTAGACTGTGCCCCATTCCGAGCAGTGTGCTGCCGGCTCTGCCAGCCTGGGGCGTGAATCCTCCCTTTGCCCAGCGTATCCGCGCTGCACACGCTCCCTGCCCTCAGTCACTTGGCAGCCGTCTTAGTTATCACCGTCGCGGTAACGCAAAGCCTGCGTTCAAGTAACCCTTATTTTGCTTAATAATGTCCCAGAGCACAAGTAGTGGTGCAGGAAATTTGAATATGCCAAAGAGAAGCCGTAAAGCGCTTCCTTTAAGTGAAAAGGTGAATACGGTACAATAAACTATTGAAAGAGAGAGAGGGGGAATGCGAGAGCACAGAGTCATACAACTTTTAGTTTATTACTAATTATTTTGTTAATCTCTTACTGTGACTAACTTATACAGTAACCTTTATCATAGGCATGTATGTATAAGAAACAGTATATAGAGGGCTCGGTGCTGCCTGTGGTATCAGGCACCCACTGGGGTCCTGGAGTGTATCCCCGTAAACAAGGGGGCTACTCTACTTCTTTCTTCAACTGTTTAACGCCCTGTATTTTAGCTGTCTATAGTAATCTCTTTCTTCACCCTTAAAATTTCTTAATCTTAATATTTATACTCAGATCAGTTCACTCATCTGCTTAATGATATAAACTACTCTTTTATTTAAAAATATGTTGCTTTTATGGCTTTACCAATTACTTTACAATGACAAACCAAAAAAATCCATCTTTATAATAGTATATTCTTAAAATTTTATCAGCTAAATTTGTATCGATTTGAAGAAGTCTTTGTTCCCGTTATAATCTCAAAATCAAAGCAGCATACATTTATTGAGCACGCACAATGTATCAGGTATCGTTCTGAGCACCAGCAAAAAGAGTCCTGTCCTTGCTATCGTCAAGAGAAGGGGATAGACAACTAAACAGGCGTTATGTGTTATAGCCATGGTACAGAAAAGTGTCCTAGAAACAGATTCTCTTTTTGGAACTCGGCAGGGTAGCTTTGGGTAGGAACATAAAGCCTTTTATTTCTAAAGACATGATTTGACAGGATCTGGTTTTCAGATTTCAGCCTCTAAATCAGCCTAAATCTTGAATTTTGGGGAGATTTTTAAAATTGCTATACAGTTGAAACTATAAGGCTATGATTCTTGAGAGTTTGAGAAACTGGAGGAGTGAGATTAATATGAACATAAGCTAATTTTAATCATGCACCAGGATCGGCACACACCATTTCCTCTTCCACTTTTTCCTCTGTAAGCCCATCCCAAGGTTTCATCACCACATTCTTTACTGTCATTCAGGCATCATCAATGTGTCTGAGGCGACACACACTCCTTCTCTCCTCTTCCTGACTTTTGGATGGAACTGCTTCCATATATGCTGACATTCTAGTTATGACAATAACCCAGCCCTCCCGTTCCAGCTACCACTGCCATGAGATCACTATACCCACTGCTAATCATGTGTATTTATTTCCCACACATAATGCATAATGTGGTCATTCATTAATATTGGGGTTTTTTTATATTAATTCATGCCTTCCCACTGTAATTTACCAATATCTATGTATTTTATCCTCAAATTCTCCAGGTGATTATGAAGGAAGTGAAAATGTAGTAATATTTAGTTATTTCTGATAAATTCTCCATTTCCCATGACACAAATGTTTATTTCCTCAGGGTTACACACAGAGCTGCCTTCCGGAATTCAGCATACCTTTGTATCTAGTTAGAGGCATTAGAGCTGGAATCCAAGACTAGGAACAATACCTGTTCGCAGGGCTTTCACTTAAAATTGTCTTCCCACCGGGGTAGGATGGTGGTTGGCCGCCCTGCCCTCTAAAATAGCCTGCCCGTGGGCCTGGCGCCCTCTGGCGGCGGGAGGGTACCTTGAGGAGGACGCTGAGGGATGGAGCCTCAAGGCGGTCTCATCGCCTAGACACCTGAGTTCCTCCAGGCTCCTATTTTGTTAATTTTATACAGAATTGGTCCTTCCTTTCCCTATTTCCCTTATTTCCCTTTTCCTGTCTTATTTTTTAACAACTTCCACACAGTGCTGATACAGTGAGTCTCTAGGGGAAACTCGAGGAGGATGAGTGTTGGCGTAATGACTTGTAACATAAGGTTTGATTTAGTCACAACAGAATGTCGGTGGTTCTTTAAAGAGGATGGTGATCATGCATTTGTCATTTCTCATGACAAGAAAAGTATGAGCATGAATGCATACGGAGGGGCTGTGCTCCACTGCAAGAAAATATGCATTCAATATTATAGTTTGTAAATGGGAACTAAGATCAACTGCGAAATATTCCTTATAAGTTGTTAACATTAGAGTCAATCAAATGGCACCTTTTAGAGACACTAAACTTCATTCTGTCTAAAGTTAGAGACAAAGATGACCACTCAAGTTCTTCTCTCCTCACCAAGTTCTGAGTCTTGTGTGTGAATTCAAGTGTTTCTAAAAAGAAGTCAATGTACTATTTATCTTCCATGCATCTATCAGTTGCTGCAGAGGTACTTCAACTAGTGTTGATCTGTGGTCTGACAAAGTTTATTGCATCTCTAAACATCTGTCTTACTTCTGTCAATCCAGTTCAAAATCTTGCATTTGGTATACCACCTGAATACAATTTCTTTGAAAAACAGGAAATGTGGTTAGCAGATTACTAGGTGACTTCTAGGTATACGCCATCTAAAAACACATATATATTTTTAGTTCCATAAAAGAGCCTATAGAATAAGAAAGTGAGTTACATTTGGTGAAACTAATTTAAACTATCATTATTCCCCATTAAACTCAAATGTATTGTGAAACTTCTACTCTTTCTTTACAGTTTGTAAATACTAAGCAATTCAAATGTAAAGTCTGGAAATTACCGATAACATCTCATTGATAAAAAAAATTAAAATGGCTCTCACTCAAGCCTTGGATAAAGCAAGAAGAGTCACAATGTCTGCAATGCAGAACTACTATGTGGCAAGGGTAAAGAGTAAAGGTAGAAGTAAAGGGTAGAATTATTTTGTATGTTCAAATGGAAAACAAATTAGGGGGGGAAAAACTAGATCTACTAAATGAAAGTGTAATAACTGTTCCCTCTGTTTCTACTCTTGCCTCTCTAAAGTCAATTCTCCTTGAACCGGTGTAAGTAATCTTTTAAAAATATAAGCCAGACCATGCCAATCTCCTGCTCTCAGCCACCTGAGCTTATATCGAAGTTTCTACCATGGCCCACAAGGCCCATCATGTACTAGCCATGGCTATCCCTTCAACAGCATTTCCAACCAGTCTTCCCATAACTCACTCATGTTTAGGAGCAATCAGGTCTGCCAAAAGAATTGGCAAAGTGCACATTTGTTCTTGTGCTTAACCTTTCATTCCAAAGGCTGTGCAGGTTTTTCATAATGAAGAGACAAATGCTAACATAGGCACAATGGGCAATATGATGGCTGTCAAGAGACAGAATCCAGTTGATGTAAGTTAATCATACATACACTTAACTCTCTGAAGAAGTGGTTCTTACAGACATGCCAGCAGTTAGGGCGGGAATTACTCTGCTGATGATATTCCACCAAATAACACCCACTAAAGACTTACCTGCAGCGACTATGACAATATCTGCCAGCTGAGTATGGAGCTTCAATTGTTCATTGGGGGTATATCTGTGAGCTATCGTCACAGTTGCATCACCTGGAATACAGAAGGACTTGCATTAATGATTACTTAGCTTTTTTCATCATTTATGAATGCTCCAATTCTAGAGGAGTTTCAGTTACATCCTAAGAATAAAATAAAATAAAAAATGCTTTGAAATAATTAAATCACTTTGAAAACAAAAGCTAGATAAGAAAATGTAGATGACCTATATTATTGTACCCTTCAATTAACCAGTGGAAAATCAAATGAGACCAAATGAGGGCATGTGCTGACCATCACAGGAGAGTGGTAAGTGGGATTCTAGAAACCTAGCATTTGAAAGTTCTGTATTGACAAGTTTTTGTTGTTGTTTTTGTTTGTTTGTTTTTAATCCAAGGATTTTTTTTTTCATTGCTTTTTCAGAGAGAGTGGAAGGGAGAGAGAGAGAGAGGGAGGGGGAGAGAGAGAGACAAGAGAAAGAGAAAGAGACACTGATGTAAGAGAGACACATTGATTGGCAAGCCTGCAACCCAAGGTACGTGTCCTTGGCCACAATCACATCCTGGACCCTTCATTCCACGGGCTGATGCTCTACTCACTGAGCTAAACCACCTAGGGTCGTATTGACAAGTTTTAGTTTGAGGGCTCCCAGATTACAAACTATCTTTTTGGTGTTTACACAATAAACTTTTACTGATACTGTTTTGGTGATTGATTATGTCATGTCTGAACTTTTTTTTTTTTTTAATTTTATACCTGTCTGAACTTTTGACACCTGCTAACTGTATTCTTATTTAACCTGTCTTACTACACACTAAAAATTCTTGTCACTCCTATTTCCAGTTTTTGTGCCCCACTGCTTTTCTTCAATGAATCCTCTGGCTTGCTGTATCTAACCCTATCTCCTTAGCTTTTTTCCCTAGGATAATCAGTACTAACAAGTTGCAACAGTTACTCCATAGAATGATGTGTATCTCTGACCCCTGATGACTTTTTAAACACTCAGTTTTATGTCCTTATTGCTCATATGATAAGAGCCCTGTCAAGGACCTAATTTTTTTAACTATTACACAGACCCAGGTAAAAAAATAATAATATTTTAGAGTCTAGAGCAACTTCATTTTGCCCAGTACTTTATATCATGTTTGTTAAGATATAGCAAGAATAAAAGACTTAGAACCTGTCTCCTAGAATCCCAGGGTTCTGTTAGAATGTAATAATTAATAGCTAGACAAGATAGACTTCTTATTATATAAAAGTCCGTGAATCAAGAATTATCTGCTGGGAGCCACCTGAGCAGTTTTCTAGGTTATCAAGATTTCTGTAATTCATGTAAAACTGCAGATTGTAGCAAAGAGGTGCTGGTGTTGGCAACTAACAGAGTGTCAATTTGAGGAATATAATATTTGCTATTTTAAAAAGCTAGAACAAAAAGCCCTAGCTCAGTTGGTTAGAGCATAGTCTGGATATGCCAAGGTTGCAGGTTCAATCCCGGGTCAGCACATACAAGAAGCAATCAATGAATGCATAAATAACTGGAACAACAAATCTCTCTCTCTCTCCCTCCCTCTCTCTCTTCCTCTATCTTCCTTTTCCTCTCTCTCTCAAATCAATCAATAATTTTTTAAAAGTTAGAGCAAACAATAAAATATGCTTCATTTTAGAGTATTACTTTTTGTTAATATTACCTACATGAGTTTACTTTTGTTGGACATTTCCAGGTCATTCCCTATCTTTGTTTATTCAATAATCAAGAAATAATCCCAGAATCACACTAAGCAATAGAGATTCACAATTCTCTAATGTGAAAAATAGATATGCAAATCAGAATTTTTATACAGTGTGGTCAGTTTCACGCCAAAAGAAGGTATAAATTACAGTGTTGGCACAGACCATTGTTATCTACTCCAGCTGAATAGGTGTAGTTAGAGCTCTTAGAAAGGATAGATTTTGACGTGAGCTGGAATTTATTTTGCTTCTCCTTCAGTCCTCCTATGCTTTTCCCACCCTTTCCCACGGATAAATTATTTTCCATAAAAACATGAGAAAGGCACAGTATTTAGCCCAGACTGTTAGAAACTTCTTCTGAAAGTCTATCACTTTGCAACTTTTACGATGATTATCCATCCATCTTCAACAGCAACACAGAACAAGTCTCAACTTCCTTTTTCACAAGGCAAATCTTCAAATACCTGCCTGTACCAGCATGAGCAGATAACGCAAAACGGTAAACCTAACAGGAGCTGGAACCTTATGCATAGGGTGTCCTTTGTCACTTTCTCTACACAAGAAAAAACTGAGTCATTCCCAACACATTATCTCAGACCATGGTCTGGTTTAAAAGGAACAATCACTGAGGAAATCGCAGGAAGGAAAACTCAGTACTCAACAGAACAGCACTCAATGGATCTTAAAACAATACTGCACTCTCTTGACTCTGAATTTCATTTACTGCACATTTTCTATTCCAACATCAGCTGCTTTTTCTGGATTAAATTGCTTAAATGACTTTAGATATTGTTACAGAGCACCTGGATCTAAGCCTTCTGTTCATGCTTTAAATAGGCCAGGCTTTACTGCCTTTGTGTCTGGTCAAGACTTGGCTGGTTTGACTTGCTGCTTATCAGTCCTTCAGTTGTCTTCCAAACACTTTCAACTAGTCAAATACTGTTTCAAGCTCACTCTTTTTAAACACCCAGAGTTACCTGAAGAGAAAGAGTAGTAGGGAGGACTGACTGAATCCTCACCACCAGCGTATATAGATATTTTTAAAATGTGCCCCCAGATTTGGTCAAAAATTATTGAGTTGAAATCATAGATACATTTATTCAATGAAGACAATATGCAAATGAGCAAATATATATATAATAAAATTTTATATGGTAATAAGTGCTAAGAAGTGAATAGAGAATAATAACATGGGTGATATATTGATAAGGTGCTGAGGGACATTTGAACAGAAACTCGAAAGAAGTGAGCAAGTAAATTATGTAAATAACTTCAAAAAGAGCATCCAGGCAGAAGAAAAACCAAGTGCAAAGATGCTGATACACGAGCATGCATGGCATGTTCTAGAAAAGCAAAAGGCATCCGTGGCTGGAAGGCAGTGATGGAGGGTAAGAGTGGTGGGAAATTAGTGAGGAGATGGAGCCTACCTTAGATCACATAAGGTCTTGCTACCATAGTAAGGAGTTTGAATTTTATTCTGATGTTAGGTTGTTCTAAGTGTTATGGGAAGCCATGGATGACTGAAGGCTCACCGAGTGGAAATTAGTCTTTGTAGGGGAGATGGGAGATGGGACAAGAGTGGGTGCAGGGAATAGGTTTGTAAATTGTATAGTGATCCAAGCGAGAGATAATGGCTTCGGAATAAAATGCGAAGCCCTGGGCTCATTCCAATCTTCTGAGCACTCACCCTCCACCCTGACAGCATTAGAATCTTCTATGTTTCAAAAAATACTAATGCTCAAGTCCAACTTGTAGAGATTCTGATTTAGTTGTGCTGTGTCGGACTCAGACAGCTATAATTTTACAAGCCCCCAGTGGCTCCAGTGGGGAGCTAGAGCTGAGGGAATAGTCACTACTGGGGGGCTGAAGGACGCTGTGGGGAAGAGGCTCGGTGGGAGCAGCGATGAGGCCGGGGCAGGAGTGCCCACACGGGGAAGCAGGGGAGGCCTTAGGGAAAGAGGGGCAATGGGCTCCAGGAAAATAAAACAGAGGAAACTCAGAGAGCTTTACTGATCAAATAAAACAGGGCCCACACTGGGGTGGTTTTGTTTGTTTTTTTAGCACTTAGTGCCTTTACATAATAACACTGCTTGGCGTTAGCTAGTTTTTTTAAAGTCATCAGATCATCATTTATATTTATGGTATGAGTTACTTATTTTGTAGAGAGTGAACTTTTTTCTTCTAGATCTTAGATATTTTTAGTAACTCCAAGTAGAAGGGGTTTTTATTTTTGTCTGTGAGGTGGGATTTCTCAGAAGGTAAATGATAAAAATATCCCATTACAACAGCAACAGGCAGACCCCCAAAGGGGTATAACATTCATAAGGAACCGTAATTAGAAATCATTCATCCCTTCCTTCAGCTGGGCTGTTTGTTATAGAAAGCTCCACTTCTCCTTTGCAGCACTTTGCACAACTACAGTGATTAATCATTCACACCCAATTGTTTAACCGTTGTCTTTCCTGCCAGACTGTAAGCTGAGGAGGACGGGGCAATATCTGACTTATTCACCATAATGCGCCCCATGCTTAGTGACAAAGAAATCAGTCCCTCTGTAAGGACGCAGCATCGCATGTCAGCAGCTCAAGGGGAAAAGTTAGTCTAAACAAAATGACAGATTCTAAATGTTTTACTGGAAAAACACTGTCAAGTCTTTCACTTAATGCCATCAGCAGAAACTGCCCCTCCCTTCCCAGTGTCCTGAGGTCTCCTCTCCCCTTCCTCATGGTCCTGAGGCACCCTCCGCCCCAGGACCTGATTCTTGGGGAGAAGGGAGTCTTAAGTAATAGTTCTTGACAAATGCCTATAATTTTAAAATATTAAGAAATTAGTGTGTGGTAAGTACCTAGCTACTTCTCTCCCCCCTCCCCTTTCTTTCCTCTATACAGGATTTTTTTTCAGTAAATGACAATGTCCTATTTTAAAACCCTTTCCTGTGGTCTTATTTTCTATAATACTGGTACAGTAGTTGCACATAGGAGACACTAAATAAACTTATATTAATTGACTAGTTGCATTATAACATATCAAGCCCTGTGCTAAATTTCAGAGATACAAAAGGAGAATTGAGAATTCCACATGCCCCTTGTGTGCAGGAAAGGGGAACAGGTTGAAAATCAACATGCAGTAGGACCAGTACTGTGTCGGCAGCACACACACTGTGCGAAACATGGACGATTTGGGCACCTCCTGTAAGACGGTGGGAGGGGAGAGGAAAGCTGGGAGTGATGGGAAACGGCATTCCTCACAGGAAACGGCTCGCACGGCAAGGAGGCATGGGAGAGGTGATGTGCTTGGGGAACAACACGTAGTTCTGTGGAGCTTCAGCATAAGGTACCAGAGAGAAAGTGACGGGGAATGGCCGAAAAGGTAGGTTGGGGCAGACCATAATATCCTTATGAGTGACGCCTTCAACAATCAGGCTTATAGACTTTTTTAAAAAATTGTTCAAAATATTACAGATGTCCCCATTTTTTCCCCACTGACCCCTTTCCCCCACACCCACTCCC